GGCCAGCCCCACTCCCCCTAACCTCCTCCCGGCCAGCCCTGCTTCCCGCCAGCCGGTTCCTTCCCTCAATCTCCACTGGCCAGCCCCGCTTCCCTCTCGGCCACTCCTCCCTCCGCACCTGAGATCAAGTGTGTCCGGTGTTTTTTTGAAATCATCTGGTAACCCTACAAAGCTCCCAGAGGGCAGCGTAAACGCTGCATCCTTCCCTGTAACGGCCCTTGGGCTGTCGCCCAGGTGGCTGGGCCAAGCGCGGAGTTCAGAAGGGGTCTCTGGTCTCCCCCCGGCACATGACCCCCATTCAGTGGGTTTCACATGGCTGGCTGCAGGGCCGTGATTAGGGAGGTCCTGGAGCCCCCGTTTCCCCCCGCCCCAGTCCTGCTCCACCCTTTCCCCAAACCCCGCCCCTGTTCCACTCCTGCTCCGCCCACTCGCCCCCTACAGGGATTACTGGGGGGGCCCTAGCACGGAGCAGCAGCAGGGGTCACCTCCCTCCACCTCCCACACTCACAACAGTGGTGGCTCCTTGGGGACCCCCCAAAGCACAAGGCCCGGGGTGCCCTCCCCGCATGGCTGTGACCGGCGTCAGGTGTGGGTGGTTATCCTGGGGGGTGAGTGATGGGACACAGGGACAGAGGACCGGCCCGGCCGCATCTGGCCCATGCTGCATCCAACCCAGAATCCCATCCCTGCTGGGGCAGATGCTGCAGAGGTTTCACCCGGGACTCTAAAGCTGGGTCTCCACGGCCCACGGCAGCAGAGCTGACAGATTCGGGCTTGCGGGGCTCGCACGCCGGCGCCACCGATAGCTGGGCAGAGGCGGCGTCTTGGCCCAGGGCCCGGGCTCCGGCGCCGAGGAAGAGGGAGGGTTCCGAGCTCAAGCACCAAGCCCAGTCAGAGTGGGGTGACCTGGGCTGGGCAGCTCACCCTGCCTAGCGTCTCTTGTCGTTAATTATAACGCTGGGTGTCCCTGGTCGCCCTTGGAGTGTGGGTTGTGAAACGACTTGGCTTGTGAAACTACGCCTGTGTAAAGTCCCAGTGGAGGTTAGTGCACTAGTGTTGGATGGTGGTCGATGTTCCCTCTAATTTTTTCCATCCATGTGGAGAATAAATTTTGTTATGTGCGCTGAGGCATATGTGGATGTGCACCACTTTTTAGAAACACATGCTGCCAGCTGTGCTAATCTCCTGGGTGGCATTTGACTCTCTCCCGGGTGGCTACCCAAGTGCTCAGCTTACAGTCATTACCGGTGGTGACGATGGATTAAGAGCAGTGTTCCCTATAAACTGAGCATTTGGGTGTCCACCCAGGAGAGCTTCAAATGCCACCCAGATAATTTTTCAGAGCACCCACAGCTGGCAGCATGTGTGTCTATGGGTGGTGCACATCCACACATACCTCAGTGCACATAACAAAATTTATTCCACACGCCTGTAAAAATAACTAACTAACTAACTAAATAGACATTGGGTAAGAGCCCACAGTAGATGATCTGGTCCCGCCTGGCCTTCAGCTCTGTAACTCTCTTGCCTGTGGGTTCCGACAGGGTCTTACTGCTAGAGCTTCGATAGCTTGACTGATCCAAACCCACCCATGGCATTCAATGAATGACTAATGTCATTGCACGGCCTGTAGGATAGGGTGTGGGGCTGAGAATCAAGCTACCTGGGTGCTAGTCCTGGCTTGGCCATTGAGTTCTTGGCTGACTCTGGGCAAGTCCTCTACTGTCCAGTGCCCCCCTCTGTAAAATGGGAGTAACGGCACTTACCTGGTACAGAGCTTTGAGAGCCGAGGGGGGGAAGCGAGACCCGAGAGCTGAATCCTAACGGTGTCCATAGTCTAACCTCCCAGGCCCGTGGGCATGTGGACCCCCTCGGCGTTCTATTGCTGGGTGCAGCCTCATCTCCATCAGCCTCTTCCCCGCGCCCCCCCAACCATGCCTCTCGTCTGCACAGGAACCAGGTGCTCCGGATCGTCGCAGCCGATGAAGCTGACGTGGAGAAGGTGAAGGAGCTGGAGGAGCTGCAGGACCTGCAGGTAACCGGAAGGCGCACATGACTCTCAGCCCTGCCCCGTCTAGTGAGACCCCTTACAGAGAGACCAGCGAGTCTGCTCTACGGCCTTAGCTGAGAGCCAGCTGGCTTTCGGCTCATTCAGGAGAGGCTCATGCACCCGCGGCCCCGCCCCCCCCCTGCCTCTCCCTGCCCCTGCTCCGCCCTCACTCCACCCCTTTCGCAGGCCCCGCCCCTGCTCTGCCCTGTCCTGCCTCTTCCCATTGAGTTCCTTCCCTGAGGTACCCTCCCCTCAGCAACGTGATGGGGGTTACCATGGCGACCCCCACCTTGCTCTGCTCCGTTCCCCAAAGCCCGTGTCGCTTGGGGCAGTGGAGTGGGCCGGGGCCAAGTGGCTCCGCTTCCCACCACCGTGGAGAAGTGGAGTGCAGCGGGCTGGGGAGAGAGGCATGGAGAAACACAGGCTGCCAGGTTGTTCTAGCTCCTGCCACCGTAGTGAGAGTGGGAGGGAGTCCAACCCCAGCTGTCACCCCACGCCAAGCCCCCTGTTAATCTCCCAGCTTGTGCAGCTCAGGGGAGGGGGCTGTGGCAAGTGGGTGGGGCAGGGATGCAGCTGGGGCTGGGCTTGGGGGAAGGGGTGAAGCGGAGGCAGGGCGGGGGAAGGCCTGGAGCAGAGGTGGGGTGGGGCCTGCAGTGTGGGGTTGCCCTGGGACAGAGTCTATGAAGCTTGCTTGGTCCTTGTGATAGCTCCGTCACTTCCCCCACCTTTCCAGAGCCAAACTCTCCCTCGAGTCCTTCGCTGAGCCAGGACTTCAGCCTTCGCCCCTTCTTGAATTACACTGCGGAAACAGGGCCTGATTCCCCGCCACTAAACCCCCCCGCAGTGCACCGAAACCCGCCCCCGCCTGGCGGATGGATATTTCCAACACTGCTGATGGTTTTTTCTTTTGCCAGCTGGATTTCTGGCAGGAACCTGGGAGCCCGGAGGTTCCTATAGATGTACGAGTTCCCTTCGCCAGCCTTCAAGCCGTCAAAGCCTTCCTGGAGTTCAACAGAATTCGCTATTCCATCCTCATAGATGACGTGCAAGTGAGTGTCTGGGGGCGCAGAATCTAGAGATTCTGCAGAGACGGGTGGAGTCGAGAAACCAGAAATCGAGAAACTCACTGTGGTCCTGGGAGGTCTCTGTATACCTGATGGGCCAAAGTCTCCTCCAGGTTAAACCAACGTGCCTCCTTTGTGTTTGAAGACACAAAGCCAGGTTCACATGCTAGATTCATGCTGCCAGTTCCATAGAAGCAGGGCTGGTCCTAACCAACTGGTGACCCCGGCCAACTGCCCGGCTCGCCTGTAGGGTTGCCAGATGGTTTAAAAAAAAATACCAGACAAAAATTTGTCAAGCCAAAAAAAAAAAAAAAAAAGGGTCGGGGAGTAACCAGGGAAACCTGGGGGGAGGATTCGGGAGGTCGGGATGAAATGCGGTCGTGGCCTGCCCCTAAGACCGGCTCTCTCAGCGGCCCTGGGCAACCGCCTGGCTTGCCCACCCGCCTGGCTCTGCATAGAAGGCAATAAATAGTATTGTATGTCGGGGGGAGGGAGGGAGTGTAACTGAGAGTGAGTTTCAGCCCATTATTCGTAAGTCCTGGTGGTGAAATTAAAAAAAAATAAAGCGACAAAAAAAACCCAATTTCCCAATTTCAGCTCATCCACTGAAACACTGCTCACAGGACACATGCGACAGACCCCAAGTGCAAAGAATCAGAGTGAATAGAAACTGAGAAAGATTTGGCCTAGTAATTATCTCTCATCGTCAAAGCTCAGCCATTACCAGGGGGAAACACGTGCCAGGAAATGAAAGCCGTTCTCCTGGGTATAATTAATGTTCTTTCTTCTCCAAAGCCTGCCTCCCCTCCGTGATGCCTTTGCATGACTAGCCCTTCCTAACAGACTCTTCTCGCTGCCTCTTCCAGATGCTGGTGGACGAGGAAGCGACACAGATGATACGTCACCATTTCATGCCCCAGACTTTGGAGACATTTAACTACGCCTCTTACCACACCCTGGAGGAGGTAACAGCCAGTGCCCACCCACTGGCACATGACTCACGGAGCAGTCTGAGAGCCACATTCATGGAAAGCCAGTTAGGAGAAAATTAGATAGGCTTTCACGATTGAATAGGCCATTGTACATGCTCTCTCCACTGTGGGCTGCCATACAAAGCCAAGTCTGTGAGTGGGCATGCACTTTGCGTTGCTTGTACATGCTCTCTCCACTGTGGGCTGCCATACAAAGCTAAGTCCGTGAGTGGGCATGCACTTTGCATTGTGGGGAAGATGCATTTTGGAACTGGTCTCGGCTGTGTAGCAGTGCTGGGACGTGGTGGAAGATGGTTTTACAGGCTCCCTCCTGGCCTCTTAATTTTTCACCCACAATTCATTGCAATGTCTGTGCAAAAAGAAAAAAAGGAAAGGGATTCCCTAATTCGGAGGTGGGTAGGAAGCTGCCAGCAGGCCGGATGCAGCCTGCCAAACCACTGGATCTGACCTGCGGTGGCCTCACCAGAACCCTAAACAGAGAACAGCTCACACTTTGAAAAGCCAGCTGCTCTCAG